TTCTTGCTAACTGCTTGATCTACTGGTTTCTCATATGCTAACTGCTCGACTGAGTTGAAGTGACTTGCTGAGACATGATATACACAGTGCCGCGTCCTGTGTATATAGTTTTGCATGGGACGCGGCTGTTAAGGTAACGCGTTCCATTCCAATGATTGACTTGCAATGATATCAGAAGTGCACCTATAAAATCATTCAAGAAGGAGATTTAGCTAAGAAGATATGAAAGTTAGCCAATACCTCTTGCCCCACAACCACAACAAAACAATAAACTTGGGCGCATGCTAAATATGAATCTATAAAATTTATCAATAAAATTACTTCAGATAAAAATCAATATAATTATTAAAAACCATCAATTTCCTATTTATAAATCCTTAAGAGGATGTACTTAAAAGAAAATACAGTGTAATATTATAAAATCTTGAATCCTTGATATATATATATATATATATATATATATATATATATATATATATATATATATTTTTTAGCTCAAAACGCCATTATTTTGGAACGGAAATCAAGGTATTTTTGTAATTTTAATTTATTTCAGGATTATAATAGTCTTTATCAGTATATTTTTTTTAATCTTTCAACCTCAAAACGATGTATCGTTTTGGGAATGAATACAAATAATTTATCTGCAATCACTGTAGAAACATACATATATATATAAGATCATTTGATACCGGTGTCAAACTTTTTAATTAGCACCCATCTGAGTCATTATTTTATTAAGAATTAGTAATTAATTAATAAAAGTAACCTAATAAATTACAGTCATTGGATCCACGGAAATAAATGATTATGATGAAGTGTCAAAAATTTTAGTTTGACATCATTGTCAAATGATTCTGCCCATATATATATATATATATATATATATATGTCTCCGACAACTTGAGATAAGTTTATCTCTGGCCACCCCAAAACTACGTCGTTTTGTTTATTTATTTCCTTATATTAATTGATTCACCCTTGAATGGTTATGATTCTCTTTTTCTCTCTCTTCCTTCATTACCATTGATCCATCTTTGTACGGTTAAGATTTAGTAGCCGGAGATAAAATTATCTCCGACAGCTTGAGAAATGATAAGCCCTATATATATATATGGAATAAGATATTATGCCTATCTTTTTTCATGCATACTTTATCTACTTATCTCTAATATCATTATATCATAATCTTAAGAGGAGAAGGAAAAGGTAAAAATTAGTTGAGATTCTAATCTAACAGTATTAAAAATGAGTAGGTAAAATAGAAATAAAATAAATATAGGCATGAAATTATATCCATATATATATATATATGAGGTAGGATTCTTTGACACCGGTGTCAAATTTGAAATTTGACACTTCATATGAGAGTCATTAGATCAAAAAAGATCAATGGTGTCACATGTTTACAAATCAGAGTCGTTGATCTTTTTTGATCTAATGGCTCTCGGATGAAGTGTCAAACTTCAAATTTGACACCGATGTCTAAAGATCCTACTTATATATATATAATACCACCCAGAAGTGGAGAATCGTAGACATGATAGGTTATTAGCTTTCTTAAATAAACCCCTTCTTTAGGCCTATGTAACCTAGGTTTTGAATCATATAACATCAAGCCACAAAGATAAGTATTTTTAAGATTAATGCACATTGCTTACCCTTTTTCTTTCCTCAAGTGGGCAGAAGGGGGTGGATTAATTACTAGGTGGTGGGGACTACAACAACTACTCTGCTTGAATCAAGAGCAATCCAAGCTAATGAGATCATATCATATTTGCTTGAGTTTGGAAACTTTAACAAGTGACTTGGTTAAAGTTGGGGTTAGTTGGAACCTTTAGACAAATATTTCTTCAGCTGTCACCAAAAAGATAGCAAGTCTTCCACTATGGGAATGCCACTTGGAAAATTCGGCCATGACGATGGTGTTCATCATTTTCCAATAATCTATGCTTTGAATTAATTTAAAGCATTGTAATAATGAGGGGCAAGGATGTTTTTTGAGTTTCGCAAACACTTAAGGGCGCCAACCCCATTTGAATTCTGATGATTGTCTTCTAATTGGGTGGGGAAAAAGTGAGAACACGAAATGATGAAACTAATTGTGAGTTGTGACCACTTTGGAAACAAAGTGATTATGTTGGATCTTATACCCCATGGCTATTTTATTGGTTGTATAAAGATTAAGATAGAAGGAATTGAAATTGTTGCAAGAGGGAAGGAAAGGAAAAGCATGGTGGGTATATATTGTTTTCTTTGTGAGAAACAACACGAGATAATGGTTGTTAGTTGCAACTGTAAGGACAATTGTGTTTCGGTTAATATAAATTATTAAAAAGGTTCTCAATGGTATTTTAAGATTTTGAGTTGAAGAGATTCTTTACATGATATCATAGCATAAGGTCACGAGGTGGGTCTATACAATATCTACGTTTCAAGCCCAAAAGACTCTTAGGTGAGAGGGTCTATACAATATCCATGTTTCAAGCCCAAAGGACTCTTAGGTGAGATGGTGTGTTAGAAACTAATATAAACTATTAAAAAGACCATCACCCAACACTTTAAGATTTTGTGTTGAAGTGGTTCTTTACATTTCACGATTACATTTTTGATATTCTAAGAGTATGTACTCCTTTATTAAAAATAGGAAAAAGTGAGATTTAGATGACAATAAATAACCATAAAAGGGTGGATAAAATAAGAAAATTTGATTATATGATTTTTCTTTCTTTCCAAATTTAATAAAAAATATACTGAACCTTAACTATTATGGGAGAACTGAAATTATTTTCATGTTTTGGGAGCCTGATCATGGTATTTGGTAACGCTAAAAGCTTAATGAATATATAGTCTTTTGAGTTAGATATGCTGATATATGCATGTTGTAAAAGATAAATAAAGAAGATATGATTAGAAATAATGATTTTTAATTAATTTATTTAAGTTGTTAAAATATGGACTCTACTCGTAGAAAATTCTAAAAATAATAAGTTGATCTTGTGAGAAAATTAAAATTTTATTTTTGTGTAAGTAGAAAAACGTATATACCTCAATTACATAATTTTGAGCTTAGTTGAATTGGTTTTGAGTGGAGAAAAATATGAGACTTTGCATGATCAGTTTGAGATTTTTCAGAACATTGATTCTCTATGGATACTCCGGAAAATTGATCCAAGCCTAGATTTTTGTGTGACTTAGATTTAGGTATTTGTGCTAAACTTTCGGATGCTGAATGATCAAGTTTTCTACACGAAATGAGAGTGGATTATGTTATTTGATCACAATCAATTATTGATGATAAAATAAGAGAGAAAAAAATATATAATTTTTAAATAAGTGATTGTGATTAAATAATATGATCATATAAATATTTTTTCACATGAGATGATCTATCCCCACACGAAATAGACAATGAAGTGAATAAAAAATTCCGACTTAATCTTCTTCCATCGAGGTACGTGTTTTTGCAAAGAATGGCATGCTACAAACTTTAATGTGTGGAAGAAGTGCAGGTTAGCTAAGACATTTGACAAAGAAAGACATACTAAAAACTTTGTTGTGCACGAGTGTAGATTAGGTAGAACTTTTCACAAAGAAAGATATACTACAAACTTTATTGCATAGAATTGTAGGTTAGGTAGAACTTTCCACAAAGAAAAAGTTAAAACATACTACAATTTTTTAATTAATTAAAAAAACACAGAAAACAAGTGATAAAAAAGTAAAGGAAAAGGTGTTTATTTCGTAATAGAAAATAAATTTATCTCTTATAATTTTAAAATAATATCGTTTTGAATTTTAAAAAATATATATGATATTTTAAAAAATTTATTTTTCTCTTTCATAATGAATTTTATTAAAATTTCTTGTCTTTTTTTTATTTCCAAACCCCAAACTGACATTTATCTTCATGTTATAGGAAAAAAATTAATTCAAAATTAAAACACATGGATTTTTTTAAAAAAATTTCTTTTTATGTATAATAATGTCATTAAATAATCTAAAATTTAATATCATATTTCTTTAGTATTTAATAATTTTCTATTTTCCATAATCTCATTTAATGTGTAATTTTTTTGGGTTCATTTAATATGCCATTCTTTTTTCTTTTTTTTTATATTAACATGCTATTCTCTTTTTTCTTATTTTGGTAATCTAATATGCCATTCTTAAGTAACAAAGAAAATGGATTTTTTTTTAGAAATCCACTTTCTTTTTTGTTGGATGAAAAAAAAAGTGGATTTCTAAAAAAAATCCACTTTCTCTGTTACTTAATTTCTTTGTTTTTTGGAAAAAAAAATAAAAAAGTTTTTGAATTTGTTGAATAAAATCTTGTTAAAACTTGAAATCATATAATTATCATAAGGATTTGATGTTTCTCTTATTGTATGAAATAAATGAATCCCTTGCACACACATAAAAGTGTGTGTGTCTCATTTTTTCTTCTTTTTTTCTTCTTTTCAAATAAGTCTCACATACTTTTATATGTGTGTAGAGAATAAATTTATCATCTAAAACATGAGAAATATTAAACTCTTATCACAAAAGTTTAACTAATTTTTCTCAAATAAATTATTCAATAACAAAAATTTAGTTTAATTAATATATATTCAGATACAACAACATCTACTTTTTTATATACAAAAATTTAGTTTAATTAATATATATAAAAAAATATAATATTATACAATTATCATAAATAAAGTCAAACTCAATTTCTTACCTAAAGTTTTGTTTTCTTTTTACAAGTACTTTTGTTGTTTTTTAAATGAAATTGTCTAAAGTCTAAACGTAGTTTAAAACAAAATCTAAAAATTAATAATATTACCAAATATATAAAGTACCTTGAAATTAATATACTTGCACACCCTCTCTTTCCCTCTCATATATGAGTGTGTCCCATGGCGCTAGTTTCCACTCTCCACTATCTATAGCAAAAAAGCTTTCAATTCAATCTCCAATTCAGAGAGAGAGAGGTGTGGTTTTGAGTTCGCTGGAAAATGACGGTGTTTTCCGCCGCAAAGCAGGTGTTTCCGGTGGACTACGAGACCGAAGTGTCGCAGCGTCTTTTGGAAGCTTCTCACTCTGGCGATCTGAGCTCCGTCGTAGACTGCATTTCCGATCCCTTGGTCGACGTCAACTTCGTCGGCGCCGTCACCTTGAGGATCCGAAGGACCGAGTTGGTTCTGCACGATGAATCGCCGAGTCAGGTACGCGTCGAGTTCGACGAGTTCAAAACCGACGTCACGCCTTTGTTTCTCGCCGTTCATGCTGGAAATGCAGATATCGTGAGGAAATTACTGGTAATCAATAATGCCTTGCTTGTGTGATTATTCAGAACGTTGATTCGAATTTTGAATTTCAACTGTTTTATTGACTGTGCTTGTTTCGGTTTTTTTTTTTTTCTTTGATTTTGAAATTGTTCAAGTGCGTTTTTGCCTTCTTTTCTGCGTCTTGATCACCGGCTTTTGGAAAATTATCGCTGACGTTGAACTCTGTTTGAATTGAATGTGCGTTCTTAATGCTATTTATTAAACCACGTATCAGAAACTTACAACTAAAATTTCCCAACTCAGCTGCTGATTTATCTCTTTAATACTTATTTCCTTATATGTTTGTTTTCCCTTTTTCTTTTTTTTTTCTTTTTTTTTTTCGGTTTTGATAGCGTGTCTTGTGTACCCCACAGGTCCAAACACCATTGCACATAATGCCACATTTATTATGCATGCCCCACTTCCCAAAAAAATAAAAACTTATGTTCTTATTTATGAGTTGCCATCACACTATATTTGGTTTCCTTTTTTGTCCGTATCTATTTAGTCTCTTGCACTAGTTTCTAACAGCATACTTAAAACATGGTAAACAAAAAAAAAATAAATAAAAAAAATTGAAGTGTGGAAAGGGTTTTGTCATAAATTTAGAAAAGAAAGAGGGAAAAAATTTTCTTGCAGTCTTGTTACAGTTTATAATTGTAAGTAAATAAAAGGTTGAATTTCATTAAAATGACAGAGTAATGGAGCTGAAGTAAACCAAAAGCTGTTCAGAGGCTTTGCAACGACTGCAGCAGTGAGGGAGGGCCACCTTAATATTCTTGAGATGTTAATTAAAGCTGGGGCATCACAGCCAGCATGTGAAGAAGCTCTTTTGGAAGCAAGCTGCCATGGGCAAGCCGAACCTGCAGAATTGCTTATGAACTCTGATTTGATCCGACCCCATGTATCTGTACATGCTTTTGGGATTGCGTGTTGCAGGGGATTCTTGGATGTCATTGAAACACTCATAAAGGTACATGTCTTGTTGCACTATATTTTTAAAGAGTCCACAATGCCATAATGGTACCGCTGAACAGAGATTTAATACAGTATCAAGGTAGCATTTTGCAATTGTTTTGACGGGTATAATCTGGCGCATTAAGAAGTTAGCAGTTAGAACAAACTGTGTCACAAGTTCATCGTGTAAATCTTTATTGTGTTTGATTCATGGTAAATAATTTGGAAGATATTGCCACATTCAGATAATGTTTTCCCCTCCTGCCCCTTACATTGTGAAAACTATATGTCCTAATCAAATACCAGGATTGTTGGCTCAGTAAAACTTCTTGGAAGTTTGTAAAGAACATTGGAATACACCACCACCCCAAAAGCCCTCACAAGTTCAAGGTAGCATTTTGCAATTGTTTTGACGGGTATAATCTGGCGCATTAAGAAGTTAGCAGTTAGAACAAACTGTGTCACAAGTTCATCGTGTAAATCTTTATTGTGTTTGATTCATGGTAAATAATTTGGAAGATATTGCCACATTCAGATAATGTTTTCCCCTCCTGCCCCTTACATTGTGAAAACTATATGTCCTAATCAAATACCAGGATTGTTGGCTCAGTAAAACTTCTTGGAAGTTTGTAAAGAACATTGGAATACACCACCACCCCAAAAGCCCTCACACGAGAGCCTTTTGGGTTTGAAGCGTCGACAATGCAACAGGCCCAGCTTAACTGTGCTAAGAAACTCCACAAGAGAAAGTGGGGGGCGGTAAGGCTCTGATACCATGTAAAGAACCTTGGGATACATCACCCCAAAAGCGAGCTCAAAGAGTGAGAGTGTCCAAGACCTTATAAACTCCACATTAGTTGCACATACAACCAATGTGGGACTATATATCTCAACAAAGTTCATATATTCAATCTTTGTCTGTCATTTTTGCAAGAAGAGTAAACTTTCTACACGAATTGTCTTCTTTCTAGAGCACAATTGACATTGACAGGTCCTTGCCTAACTTTCTGAGGCAAGTGCAAACCAATGAATATTTACTCTAGTTGTAGTATTTAGCGGCCAAGGTTCAAGAGAAATTAAATAAACCTGTGATTGAACTTTTTCGTGAGTACTTCTAAATTACTGCTTATGCTAAAACAAAGGACTATATTGTCAATGGCAGTGCAGCGTGGATACGAGTGCTGCAGATCGGTTGCTTTTACAGTCACTTAAGCCTTCTCTCTACACAAATGTGGATTGTACTGCACTTTTTGCCGCTGTAATTCATAGACAGGTCCCTGTCGTGGGTTTACTACTGAAGGTAATATTTTACCTTGACTTCTTCCAACCTTTGACTATTATTACAATTCATAGCATGAGAATATTACACTTTTCCTTTTATGAACCTTTGTTCGTTATGAACATATAATCTTTTCTTTTCATGGTTAAACTTATATTTATTTGTTCATTCTGCTCTCGTGATAGTGACATAATTCATATTTATGTTTTCAATGTCAAGGTTTTTTTGTTAATGTGAAATAAGCCTCACTAGGGCTTTTTCTTACAAATGAACTACAGGATTGTGCTAGGATACACTATGAAACAAGGCTTGGAGCATGGTCATGGGACATTTCCACAGGCGAAGAGTTTCGTGTGGGAGCTGGGATGGGAGAACCTTATCCTATCACCTGGTGTGCAGTTGAATATTTTGAAAAGAGCGGTGCTATACTGCGCATGCTCTTGCATCATGTTTCCCCCAATACTCCTCACCATGGAAGAACCCTTCTACACCATGCCGTCCTATGTGGCAACGTTGAGGCTGTCAGGATACTCTTGGAATGTGGTGCTGATGTGGAATCGCCAGTCAAAACAACCTGCCAGACCAAGTTTCATCCAATACACATGGCTTCTCGTCTTGGCTTATCAACAATTATTCAGTGCCTTATTGATTTTGGCTGTGATTTGAACTCTACAACAGACTCTGGTGATACAGCTTTGATGATCTGTGCAAAATATAATCAAGCAAATTGTCTCGAAGTACTGACAAGTGCTGGTGCTGATTTTGGCTTGGTGAATACTGCTGGACAATCTGCAAGTTCAATTGCTGAGTCAAAGCAATGGTGGCTAGTTTTTCAGCAAGCAGTGTTTGATACAATTAGAAAAGGAAAGATACCTAAATCCAGCAATACTTCTGCTTTTTCCCCTCTATTGTTTGTAACTCGATCTGGGGACACCGAATCTTTGAAAACTCTCATCGGTTCTGGAGAATTCAATCTTGACTATCAAGATGATGATGGTTTCTCTGCAGCTATGGTTGCTGCTTTGAAGGGTTACGTTGAATCATTTCGATTGCTTGTATACGCGGGAGCTAATGTAAAGCTATGCAATAAATCAGGAGAAACAGCAATTTCCTTGTCTAAATTAAACCAGAGTCATGATTTATTTGAAAAGGTCATGCTTGAATTTGCGCTTCAAAGGGGCAACTACAATGCTGGTGGCTTTTATGCTTTACATTGTGCAGCTCGACATGGTGACTTGGATGCTGTTAAATTGCTCACTAGTAAAGGTTATGATGTGAATGCCCCTGATGGTGACGGCTACACTCCCCTCATGTTAGCAGCAAGGGAAGGCCACGGCTTCATTTGTGAGGTTCTAATTTCATATGGAGCCCACTGCAATGCTAAGAACGCCAGAGGGGAAACTGCACTTTCACTTGCAAAGAAAGAAGGAAGAAAAAACGATGCAGAGGATGTTATACTAGATGAACTTGCTCGTAGATTGGTACTAGGTGGTGCCTATGTGAAGAAGCACACCAAATGTGGGAAGGGAACTCCACATGTTAAACAAATACGGATGATAGGATCTGCAGGGTTGCTGCATTGGGGGAAGTCAAATCGCAGAAATTTGAAGTGCTGTGAGGCAGAGTTGGGGCCAAGCTTAACATTCCGTAGAAATAGGTACCAGAAAGGTGACGCAGATGAACCTGGAATGTTTAGGGTGCTTACGACCAAGAACAAGGAAGTGCATTTTGTATGTGATGGGGGATTAGAAGTTGCTGAACTTTGGGTCAGGGGTATCAAACTTGTTACCAGAGAGGCTATGTTTGGTAAAATGTGAGGCATATAATAAATAGGGTTGGTGTGGTGTCAATATGGTCGAATAAGATGTATAGACGAAAGGAGAAACAAAGTTCATATAAGACAATCTCAATAGTCAATAGTCTAAAGACAAATGAATGAATATCTTTTTTTCACTCTTTAACTTTTTTTTTTTTGGGTGTAGATTTTCACTCTTTAACTTAATAAGCATTTTTATTTTTATACATTGAGGAATTAAACATACAACTTATTATATAACTACCCACACCCTCATCACTAGGCTAACCCTAGTAGCTTCTTAATACACATTTCATAACCTTTGATTTGTTTATAATAGTTAAGATTGTTCCATATTGTTATGGCTCATATAAAGACCATATTCTTGAGGACCCAATAAAGGCCAACACAAATCAAGAAATGATGTTCCCATTGATAACAATCTTATTACGACAGCTATATGGTTGGATATTATGTCCCTAGATAGATCATTAAAGGCCTAGAGCTACAATATAAATTTCATAAATAAGAGGTAACACATACAAGTATAACTAATCTCTTTCTATTACCGTTATGTTGTCATTGTGCACACACAACACTCATTTGACAAACACCGTTCATGCTTGTGTATAGTGATCTAACATCTCAGGGTTATCTCATTTCCATTAAGTTTTTAATATAATTGTATATCCACATTCAAACTTTAGATTGGAGATGTAAATAAATTACATCGTTGGAATATTTAAGTGTGATAGAATTTCACATTAGTTGGTAATAAGCTAAGTAAAATTCATAAAAAGTGGGAGGACCTATAAATCCACTACTCTAAAATTTTGTGTTGAGAAAATGTATTAGACTCATTTGATATGGTTGGTCTGACGTGAATTATATAGAATATTTTACTTATTAGCCTGATACAAGATAAATTATTGCTTTGGTCTAACTTGTTTTAAGTTATAATTATTTTGTTTCTTTTGTATGTTTAAGTTGATAAAAAGTAGAAGCAATACATTAGCTGAAACTACAATCCAAAATATTAATAATTTAACTACATTGCTCAAAATTAAAAATAGAGTAACGGCAAAGGACTTAAATTAAATTTTAAAATAAATAAATATATTCACTCACTCATATATTACATAATTTCGCTCAATAAAAAATCATGATGCTGTCAAAAAATAAAAGGTAAAGATAATAAACTATTCAATAAAACCATTGAAAACTTCAGAAGATATCAAAATTTTGTTGACTTTCTTATTTGATCCATAACCCATTGAAGGGAAAGCTGTCAAAAAGATTTTTTGTTTTATCAAATTTCATATTGGAGATAAAAAATTATTTATTAAAAATTACATATCAAACATGTTATCTAACTTCTAAAGATGTTTTTTAATAAATCTAAATCTGTGTTTTTTTTAAAATAGATCAAGTCAAATGAGACCAAAGACAAAATATATTGTGGACCCTTGACTAACTGTCTGATAGAGGTGGTAATATGAGTTAAACTTGATGGGTCAACCCGCAAAAACGAGACTGGATGGGTTATACATTTCAACCCACCAATCCGCTTCAACTCGTCCTGCTTAATTGTAGGCAAAATTGGTTGGCCCGTGGGTGAATTTTTTTTATTACTATTAAGTAGTATTTTATTTGTCACTAAACTTTTGTGATATAATTCTTTTTTTATCTTAGTACTCACTTAGAAAAAAATAAAGAAAAGAACTTTATTTATGACAAAAGTTATCCATATATGGAGGAAAAAATAAGTTCTTAAAAAATCTCTAACTGAATATTAGCTTATATTTAGGTTTGAGATTGAAAAAAAATTAAAAAGAGTATGAAATAAAAATAAGCAATATCATAAAATTAATAAAATATAATTTATTATTATTTTGTAATTACTTTTTATTCCCCTCGCCTTGTTTTTGGCGGGTTGAAGAAGAGTCGAAGGCGAGTCAAGATGTTTTGCTCTACTATCCGATTCATTTACGCCCTTACTCGAGATTATTGAATAAGTTGGAATAATATTTTTTTTTTAAATGGAATAATGTCTGTTAGTTAATAAGTAAATCTAACGTAATACTTAAAAACATTTGAGTTGATATAGTTTCGTATTATGAGTTCAGTTAATTTTCATTAACATAGTCTTGATTATTATAATTATTATCTAAAAAAATTCAAATGGTAGGGAAATTTTTATTAGAGTAACTCAAAACGAGCTTGATTTCATTCAGGAAGATACTAAGATAAGGAAAATGGAAAAAATAAATAGATGAAAAGTCCAGGGAGAGGAGAAGAATTTGGGAGGTCGCTAACCACCATTAATTCAGTAGTGCGAATTAATTAAAATTAAATAATTATGGAGGAGGGAGGAGAGAGAAGAAATGAAAAAAAATAAAAATTGTCCAAATATCATCCAGTGAAAGAAAGGATCACATTGGACTTGAAGTACAAAAAAAAATTTCTGAAGAGATGATATGACTTTTATATAAATAATTAAACAATATTCTCATGTTAATTTAATGTGATTGGATGTTATGCCTATCTTTTTATTCTGTTTATTTTATTTATTTATTTTTAATATTATTATATCAGAATCTAAAAAAGAAGAAGTTAATTTGTTATAAAATATGAATGACTTAAATCATATTACCATTACGTTACCGATGGCAGTAACGGTACAATTATGAATGAGGTTACTGTTGATAGTAATAATGTAATTATCTCTCATTTATGAATATATAACCATCGCACTAATAGATCATTACTCCTTTATTCATGGTTATAATCTTGAGTGAGAATATTCTAACTATCAAAAACTCTCACTACTAACTTACTATCCATCACATCACCATTATATCAAAGAAATAGAATGTTAAAAAAAATTTGAAGAGAGAAAAAATATTAATCTAATGGTGATTAGATATGTAATAAGTTGGTAATAGAAAATTTTGATAATTAGAATATCCCTTCTCTATAATCTTATATATAGACATTGTTTGTATTGGAGTATACAGCTGAATTATACAGCTAAATAAGAATTAAATTTCTATCCTACTTCTTGTTGTTTTTCCTCTTTCATTTCTCTTTATTTTATAATATTGAGATTCTGATACAGAAATAAATAAGTAAAATAGGTATATAAACAAAAAAAAAAGTATTTCTTCAGTCATTGGAGATAAAATTATCTCTAGTGAGCTCAAAACGACATCATTTTAGAGTTATAAGATTAAAAAATTATAATAATAAAGACTAATATAACTCTAAATATATTAAAATTACAAAATATCTTGATTTTTTTCCCAAAATAACGTTATTTGGACTCATGGAAGATAACTTATCTCCGCTTACTTTGATTTACCTATAATAAAAAATACATATATGCTATCCCTAATTTAATATCATTTGTCTGTACTCTGTTCTCATTATATAAATCGTTTCCACTTTCCCCATTGACCTATGTATAGACCTTTACCTTATCCCCGAGACTCTTTCCCTTGTGTATGTTGTCCGCACAGTGATACAATTCCATTTGCCATATCTTAGGTCACTCAAAATGGTTCCTCTCCAATCTTAGAGATTTTTCTTTAAAAATCCACAACTTGAACCCCTTCCCTCACTCTCAAAACCTACAAAGATGAAGACTTTCTCCTCAATTCAACCACCCCAACACTTCCCTTCCACAAGATTTCACTCTTTCACTATCTCAAGGTTACTCTTTTCCCCATTTTCATGCTTCATTTCTTCAATGTCTGTTTATACTTTCAATTTACACTTTTCAATTTCAAAACCCCAAGAAAGAGAATCGAGGTGGAAGATGGAACTCATGGATTAAAAAGGGTAATGAGCTTGTGGGGGTATCTGGGTCTATGTGAATCCATTGCATAATCTCAAATAAGAATTGTTTAAATAGCATAGACTACACCATTATGTTTTTTCCTTTTCATTTTCAATTTCTGATATTATCAGGACTCAACTTCATTTTCCTGCAAAGGTCTTCTTTTGCCAAGCAAAATCTGGTAAGCATTTTTTTTTTTTTAAAAAAAAAAAAAAGGTGTTGCACTTGATATGAGGTTAATGTACTAATCTAATGAGCATAGACATTGAATTATGCTTTTTTACTCAGGCATAGATGGGTCTTTGAACTTAAAAGTGATGGCTACCACTGTGTTAGCAGCAGAAAAGGAAGAAGCCAAGGCTGTATTGACCTTGTATTTAAAGGAACGTGGTTTGAGCAATGCAGTTGCAGCAAGAACCATCAATAAGTCAGATCTTTTTATTGATCACCTTGTGTCAAAGCTTCACTCTAAGCACAAATCTCGGTACCTCACAGGTTCGGTTGCTACAAATTAATTAATTTTCTTTTATAACTTTGAAGGAGAACCTTGGCACAACATTTGGTGTTGTTTTCATTGTTGCCATGTGACCCGGAGGTCACAATTAGCCTCTTGCAAATGCAAGGTAAAGCTGCCTATTACATATGCTCTGTGCATAGCAGGAGTTTGTAGCACTAAAATGGCAAATTCTGGTGCATAAGTCTCCTCGACTTGTGAGGTTAGGGGTAAGGTTTGATTGTATGTAGTTTTACCTTTGCATTTTGCAAAGAGACTGTTTTCCAAACTCGAACCCGTGATCTTCAGGTCACAAGAAGCAAGCTCACCGCTGCTTCAAGCTCGCCCTCAGCTTTGTAGCACTAATCTGCCCTTTTTTCTTTCATAACTTACCTCCACATTGGATCCTGCTAATCACAGTCTCACTGACATAAACAGGGAGAGAGCTTACAACACTTGAGATCAGGGATGCTCTTATGTCTTATCTTGAATCCCTTTTTGAAGAGCATGGAGAAATCCTAGTAGATATAGTGGAAAACTTTCCAAACCCACCTGTTAAGGAAAAATCACATGTGCCAATGCCAATTCCTCCTCCTAGTCCATCAGTAGACTCTAAGAAGCTTAAAGCTGTGTCTCGATTGAGTGAGATAGACCCAGCTGCTGGCAAGCTTCGCCCTCATATTGTGTATCTCATGGAGCTTGGTATGGATATCGAGCAGATTAGGAGTATCATACGGCGATTCCCATCTTTTGCCTATTGTAGTTTGGAGGGTAAAATTAAGCCATTAGTTGAGTTTTTTCTTGAACTTGGAATTCCAGAAGAAAACATTCCGATCATCCTTACTAAAAGGCCTCAATTATGTGGAATAAGTCTATCTGAAAACCTTAAACCCACCATGAAGTTCTTAGAATCTTTGGGTGTTGACAAGGAACAATGGGCTAAGGTGATCTACCGCTTCCCAGCATTGCTAACTTATAGCAGGCAGAAGCTGAGGGAAAGTGTAAATTTTCTCCATGAAATGGGGCTCTCAGAAGAGAACATAGGTAAGGTTTTAACTCGCTGCCCCACTATTATTAGTTACAGTGTAGAAGACAATCTCAGACCAACAGCTAAGTACTTCAGTTCTTTAGGGGTTGATGTTGGCATTCTTCTATTCAGGTGCCCACAGACTTTTGGTCTTAGCATTGAGGCTCATCTAAAGCCTGTAACAGAATTTTTCTTGGAGAGGGGATACAGTTTGGAAGAAATTCGGACCATGATTTCAAGATATGGAGCCTTGTACAGTTTTAGCTTGACTGAGAATTTGATTCTGAAATGGGATTTCTTTTTGACCATGGATTACCCAAAGTCTGAGCTGGTTAAATTCCCTCAATTTTTTGGATACAATTTAGAAAAAAGGATCAAACCAAGATATGCAGTTATGAAAGAATCTGGAGTGATGTTACTGCTTAACCAGGTTCTATCACTGTCAAGCAGCGACTTTGAAAAGGCCTTGGAAAAGAAAATTAAGAAAATGCAAGGTGGTCGCTCAATCATATTTAGAAATGAAAACTGAGATTTTCAGGAAATGTTTCAGCTTAGAAGATGCTCAACTTCATGATTTTTTTGTTTTTTTGATCGATGGCACTATGACTGCCAATTTATGTGAAGTGAAAAGTTGCAGTTATACTGGATCATGGTCAATCAAAAGCTTCAGGAAATAGAACTCATGCCCATGAACTTAAGCATTAAGCTGTATTGGAGTGATTTTGGAGCATGCTAGCTCCCGAAATCAAAATTTCCAACAGGGATTATGAGATGAATGACCCTGGTCAGCTCTACTTGCTAGTTACTGCTTGGCGGGGCACGATTCGGTTCTTAAACTGATTCAGAGAAAATAGTTTGGTTCTTAAATTGGTTTCGAGAAATATGGTTAATTTTGTGTAGTTCGTTTCGACTTGGTTCATATAATTTTTCCACACATTCTAGGAGTGGATATAGTTCAGTTCAGTTTGGTTTTATATCCCAAACCGAATTGAATCACTTTAACCGAACTGATCTGGTGAAGTGGTTCGGTTCTTCTTCGAATTGGTTTTGAAAAATAATTTGTTTCATGAACTGCTTCAGGGAAAATAGTTTGGTTCTTAAATCAATTTAGAAAAATATGATCACTTTTAGCGCAATTCAGTTCAGATAATTTCAGTTAGTTCACATTTTGGTTCGGTTCATATGGATTATTTTACACCAAAATGAATATGTGATTGTTTTTGTCTCTATATATTAACTAGAGTGTTTACTGTGTATTTGTTGGTAAAATAGATGATTAGTGAGATTACATGGCGCCAAATTTTGCTCCTACTATATTGTAAGACCACTCTGATGTGGGAAACCTGTCTTTGAAGTTCTAAAATTGTATTTACGTGTGGAAGGTGATTTTGGCCATTCCAACGACAAAGTGGGAAGACATGTACCTTCTTTCAAACCATGGTTCACAATCCTTAATATACAAGCACAATGGTTTGTTTTAACGGAAAGGTAATTTTTGTTTTTTCACTTCCACTGAAGCCATCATTTGAGACCAAAATTTATGCTCAAATACAAGTATACAACTTAGTTATTGAATTGCAAACATGTGGATAAAACTCTGTTTCTAACTGGGTTTTGATTGGGTTTTATGGTTATGAACATAATTGCGTTGACTGAATTGACTTGTCTCACTCTACACTATACAGTAGTAATAGATTAAAGGAAATAAAATAAAACATAAAAAATGACCTCATTTGCGATTACTGGAATGTATTTATGGGCTTTGTATCTATGTAGCGACAGTAAAATTTTCTCTTCTTCCGCTGACACAAAAATATGGTGGGGTTTAAATGAAAAATTTCGTTGAGTCTGTTGCATGAGAAAAACACTTCTGCAATAATAGCAAGAAGTTTTTTCCCCATTATTTATTTATTTATTTGAAAATGACATCAATACAGTTATTTGGCTCCTCCATATTCAAGAATATTTTTCGTTGTAATGCAATTTTTTTATATAAAAGTTTAGATTGGGGGAAAATATATTCTTATCTAAGGCTAAGAAAAACCACCAATCTCAATTGAGATTACGTATTGCCTATTAAAGAGAAAAAACTGAATCAAATCTTAAGTCATGGTTAGCATGGGTAGAAGGTATTGTCATGTAATTTTCAACCTTATTACTAATCTAATGCAATTGATTGCACACGGGATGACTAGCAACTAGTTGTACAAGGAGGATTGTGCAATTTTCTCGTGGCACAACCAGGTAACTTGTGCACCATCCATGTGCAATTAGTTGCACATCCCTCTTGCGCAATTAACTGAATCGCGTCATGTGACACAACCCTCGCCATTTGTAGCACCTACTACTCAATTTCGCACCCCCTAGTAGGATTGTCAAGATGTTGCCACATGGCCCTTCTTGACCATCCCTCCTACCAATCCCTTCATTCTCTTTCTCACACTTGAATTTGTTGGGTTTAGTATGCTCTTTTCACTTAAGCCCAATAGCTTTAGTGAGAGAGCCGAAAGTCCAATTTTAACCCAGGAAGCTTAGGGTTAGTTTTGGATTGGGCAGAGTATACAAACTCTCTTTTCTCCTAGTGCCTCCTAGGGTTACAGTCATCAGAAACACACCAAAGAAGCAGACGTTCATCATCTGAACAGTTGCCCACACGACCCGCTGATCCCCTTGAGTCATAGCCTGGAAGATCAACCGTACAGCGAAATTGCGACCGATCGTGGTGCGTTACTGCAGATCGTGAGGCTTGAGGAGGAGAACTGAACGTGAGAAATTGTCACGCTCACTGCTTCATTTCAGGTAATCAAAACAGTGTCTTTATCCTTCATCACATCGGTACGATGTGCTTCCGCGTTTCTGATGATATACCTTCATGTGGTATCAGAGCTGGATTGTGATGGGAATTAAGATCAGTTTTGATTTATTTATTTTTCTATGTGATTTTGAAAATATGGCACCTTTATTCTGTATCTGTTATTGATATTCATGTTAATTCTTTATAGTTGTTCATTTTCATAAAAGTTTAAATTTTAATTGGTAAAAATGTTTTAATCCATGGTTAGGATCTCTCGTGTATTTCTCGATTTGTAACAAGGAGGCTAATCCCATATGATTAGGTTTCCTGCTGTTTTTATTTATTTTTCGGAATTTCTGTGTACTTTTCCAATATTTTGTAAAAGTTCAAGATCGAGAAACTGCGAGGAAGATGCGCAGTCAGCACTGTCAGAGACTTTTCGAGGACTTTCCGATCTTAGAATGGGACGATCCATATATGATTGGAAATAAGACGGAAAGACGAACGCAATGGTGGGTGGATCGCCTCCACCGGAGCCGCCACGCTCCGCCACAAGCGGCTGCGAGTGGCCTTCACTCTCCGGCAAAGAAAGAGAGCGTGAGGGAGCGTCCGGCCACCTTTTTGGGTGGTTCTGGCGGCGGTGCACTCATCTCTATGTGGCGGTCCTTCCCCTGAAGTTTCGGCCTGAGTTGACTTCGGTTGACGGTGCGGCAGACCTGACGGCTAGGGTTCCTCTTTCGCGTCCTAGGGTTTCTCGCCAAAGGATTGAGTCTTTGGGCTTTTGGGCCCATGAAAACTCTAAAGGGGCTTGAGACAGATACTATGGGCTAAACGAAAGTCAAATTCCAAAGTTGTAATATTTTATTATTTTTATTTATTTATTTTTCTTTAAAATAGGAAGGCCATAGATTAAAGTAATTAGATTTTATTATTTAATACTTTTATTGATTGGTATGAATTATAGATGCGATTAGCATGATATTTGCGATAACATGTCATATAGGATAAGGAAGGTGCCATATTGTTGCATGATCACATGTCATACATGCATATTTACTATTATGTCATTATCGACTAGTATGATAGTATATGCGCGTAGTTTTTGATTTTAAATATTCTGGTAAAATAAAATTATGATTATTATGATTTTAGAAACAAAATCTAGATTAATGGTTATATTAATTTCGAAAATTAATTAATTATTATGATTTTGCTAAAATCTAGAATAATATTATTTTTGGAGTTTTAAATCAACACAATTAGTAAGAAAATTTCCTAAGAGAATTCTTTTATTTTGCGAGTAATTTGTGGGTCTACTAAAATGGTCATGTGTTAAACACACGCTGCATACCACAATCATGTATCATGATTGTGTGAAGCACACGCTGCCTATCATGACCGGATTTTAGGACCTTAATGATTTCAAAATTCAGATAAGCTAAGTGATGCAAGTTCATCGGCGCTCTTGCTTACATAGTTTTTGAAATCAAACAAAGGATACTCTCAATTAAATAATTATTGGAAATTGGAAAATATTGCTTATGTTGAATGGAATGAGATTTAAATTAATTAATTTATCCTTCAAGCGCATTATAGGACCATTAATAAAATGATCATGTGAAGTCCCATCGAATAAGCATGATTGAATTTTATTAGATTGAACCTAAATAATTATAGGAGGAGATTTAAATTAAGAAATTAATTTAACCTCCAGGCACATTGTGTGCCTATCAATAAAATAATCATGTGAGGCCCCAACGAATAAGCATGATTGGATTTTATTGAGCCTTAATACTTTCAAATTTTAATAAAGTATTGTACGACCCATCGTCGATAATACTAAGTTAGTAAAGATAAATTTGAAATTAAACAATGAATTCGACAGGGTTTATGAAAATTCTTAAATAAAAATGTTGAATGGGTAAAGGTTTTAAAAATTAAATTATTAATTTTAAAACCTGCGAGCTCCATTTGTGGGTTTATTAGTGAAATGGTTATCGCTGAAGCCCCATCAGATAAGGATAATCAGATTTCACTAGATTAAATCTTAATAATTTCAAAATTTTAGTAAAGTATTGTACGGCTCATCGTCGGCAATGCTTAGACACTAAGGATAATTTTGAAATTAAACAATGGTTAATTACATTCAACTTTGGTAAAATTGTTAACCCTCCCATCGAGGCTCTGGCAATGGCACTGAAGGCCCAAATAAAAATTTTGGTTTTTACATGTGACTTGCCCATCGTAAGCCTTGTAAAGATAAACTGAAGGATTGTTAACAATAAACAAGAGTAGTTATGAGAATCTACTTGTGCTTCATTTGTTTATTGCATTATTTGTTTGTAATTGTGTGCTTTATATGTTTTTTTTCTTCAGAAAATGACTTATTCCAATCCTATAGCCATAATTTTGAGTAAAAAATCTCTAGATGGTACAAACTATGAAGAATGGAAAAGGAACCTTGATGTTGTTCTTAAACATGAAAAGCTAAAATTTGTCCTGACAGTACAAGGGCCATAGCAACCTGCAGAGGTAGTGTCTAAGGACGCAATACTCAGATTGGAAAAAGACAAATATGGTAATTCGCTATTATGTTCTTATCGGTCTTTCCAAACACTTGCATAAGCAAATGTACATGGTTAAGAGTAGAGTAGAGATGCTTCAGACTCTTAATGACATGTTTGCTGTGTCTAGCAGCTCTGCTAGACAGAATGCAGTCAGTGCAGATTTTGCTAAGAGTCTTGTTAAATCCAAGGGAAAACCCAAGGGTGGTAACAAGAACAAAATAATTTGGTTATCAGTTGTCAAACCAGTTGCTAAGCAGAAGTCGCAAGGCAAGTTCTTCAAGTGCAGACTGAAGGGACACTGAAAGAAAAGTTGCCCAGAGGTGATGAAAAGAACCAGACATGGGTATATTAAGGCTTGATCAGTGAATGAATCATTGATTCAGGAATCACTGATTATGTTTGTTACTTTTTGCAATAGTTCAAACATAGTATGCCTGTTAGAAGTGGACAAAGAAATTTCAAGCTTGAAAATGGGAGCTTGTGTCTGCATTAGCAGTAGAACAAGTTATTTTATCTTTTGATAATTTATGACTTTAGTTTTGGATGACTGTTTAATTATTCCAGATTTGAAGAGGAATTTTGTATCTGTTAGTAGTTTTGTGAAAACATGGTTTAATAGTACAATTTAATTTCTCAGTTTCAATAAGAAGTTCATCTTTTTTTATTCCGGTATATTAAATTGTCTTTATTACTTGAATTATATATTCCATTTAATTTATTATGTTGAATGGAAAGGAAGATGAACAGGGATTTTCACCAAAGAAATAAAAGTTTCAAATGAAACATAACTTTGGCCTTTGTGATTGAGTCACATTACCTCAAAGTAGGAAACATGTTTTAGTTAAAAGAGGGACTGAAAGTTCAAGAATTTTTTAACTAAAAGCTACATGTTAGTCATATTTGGAAGGTAAAATGGCCAAGCAATCCTACTAGGGGCCAAAAAGATTTACGCAACTATTCAACTGGAACTGGTACATACTAAAGTATGTGGACCAATTAGCGTTCAGACCAGAAGAGGTGATGAATACTTCATTATATGAATGTTTACTTTGGATTTGGACAGATGAACTAAGTGCGCCATAAGTCTAAAGCTTTTGGAAATTTCCAAGAAGTTTAAGTCTGAGGCAGAAAAACATGTAGGTGTTCAAATCAAAATACTTTGGTCTACTAAAGTGTTTGGCTACCTATCTGGTAAGTTCATGTTTTACCTGATTTAAGAGGGGATAGTTTTCGTAACTGTCAACTCTAAGAACGCGTTAGTTGAATGAAGTTGCAGTATGCAAAAATCAAACATTTTAGACTTGGTGAAGATCATGTTCAGTTATTCATCTTTGCCAATGTTGTTCAGAGGAGATGCCTAAGAGAAGGAAATGTACATTCTTAACTTGGTTTCGTAAAAGTTTGTTGTAAAGACACCTAAAAAATTATGGAAAGGGTGCAAGCCCAGATCAAACTATATTCGAATTTAGGGTGCTTTGGCACACGTCCTACAACAGCAGTCAAATAAGATGAAATCTTGTATGGAAGAGTGCATATCTTTTGGCTACCCTAAGAGAACTAGGGATGATTTTTTATTTAGTCTTAAGGAAAAGATAATCTAAGTGAGCACTCACATGATTTTCTTAAAGGAAGACTAGATGAGAAATTATAAGCTCTTAAGTAAGGTTATTCTTGATGAGATTTATCTCAAATCAAGAATTTTCAGAATCTCTAGAAGCTTCATCCACTGTTCTCTTGATTGTTCAAGAGGGGATAGATATATCTCTAGGTGAACAAACAAGAGAACTGTAATTAGAAATTCAACATGATAATATATATAAGTAAAACTAGTAGAAATATTAGTATCACATATGGAGGAACAATATCAAGAATAAGCAGAACCTCAAGAAATTGAAGATCCACCATTTGACCCACTCTTTGTTTTACCTATAAATACACAAGGTCTAGTGCAGTACATTTGTAGTGGGAGAGAACCTTATTAACTCTCAAGTTGTCTCTTGTTGAATGACATTGATCCTACTAGTTACGATAATGCACTAGAAGATGTTGTTGATCAAGTGTTGCTCAAGCTATGAACAATGAGATGAAATACTTGTATTTCTAGTCCGTCCGGTCCTAGTAAAGACACCAAGAGGGGTAAAACTCACAAGGTGCATGTGGATATAAAAGGCAAAGAGGGGATGGACATGAAGGTGAAAACCTTCAAAGCTAGCTTGGAGGCAATTTTTGCCAAACGCCATGCTTGAGTCTATCCAGATTCTCTTAGTTGCTATAAGTCTCAATTATGAGATTTCATTTTGGGAGTTGGATGTCAGGATATCTGCATACAACAACCAAAAGGGTTTATACCAAATGGGTAGGAACACATGGTATGCAAGTTGTGAAAGTCTATTTCATAGAATTAAGCAAGCATTCAGGTCTTGGAACATCAGTTTTGATTAGGTTATCAAAATTTTGATTTTGAGAGAAGCTTGATGAATGATGTTTATTTGTAGGTAAAGGATCCAATGGAAGACAGTAGCTTTTCTGGTACTTTATGTAGATGATATGCTCCTTATTGGAAATGTAACAGCCCATTGTACACCGGTATTGTTAACATTAATTATGATATTAAGCGCAGTTACAATCACAACAATTCATTTATAAAAACACGAATAAACTTTTTTCGTTATTACGCGAGTATTTAAAACAATAAAAAAGCGTAATTGTTAAAAGTTGTGACCGTAACTGTAAAATCTTTGCGGAATACTTATTTAAACTACTCTTCTAACTTATTTTACTTATTAAAAGCCACTAAGGGGTTCCCATAAACCCACTTAGCTATTTTCTCAATTTTACGTTTTCTACCTCTCCGAACATGGTTCGGTAATTATTTTTCTGCGGACTCACCGCACAAAACCAGACCTTCCTTTCTAGCTATCTTTTTTTCTTACTTAATTATCTTTCTAGGAAGCTATTGCACGCTTTATTTGGAGCTCGTTTGCTCCGGTTATCGCCGTTTGAAGTTGGACAAGCAAAACTGTCAACCAACCCCAAAACAGCTCTAAACATCCCTCACTCCATGAATTACTGCAGAAACTCCACTCATCCAATTACTCTCAAATTTTTACACCACAAACTAGACACCTCAACCTTCAATTTGATATATCATACGTTTAATTTGACTGAGAAAGAAAGTGGGAATAAAATTTCCAAAAACTGCCAGAAACAGCCCCTGCATAGGAGCGTTTTGGACAGTCCGTGTTCACAGGCTTCTACAGGGATGCATGCAACCCAGAATATTCTCATATTTTGACAAAATGTAGGGGACATCTCAATCTTCAAAATGGCGTATGGCACGTCCCTATCGGATCTTTGTGGAGGGAGATATGCTCTCCCGAAGTTCGCCCAATGGCTCACTTCGATGCATATAAATAATATAAAATAACCACTTTTCAAAACGGGATAAAGCAAGGGATTTAGAGAAACTGGAGAATATAGGAATACAAAATACGACGAAGCGGGAATGGTAGCTACCAATACCACGCAACGTCCTTGACATATAAGCCTATGAGTCTCATCCAATGCGTGTTCATAGAACATCAACCAAGGTACCCTCCCATCCGCATACACCCGAGACTTCCTAGTGTGCTCCTATCCGGATCATACACCACAACCCTAGGTCAACTGGAACTTCCTCTCGGGGACCTATCCAGTGGAAGTCCGAACTGCCCGAAGGCTACACTGTCTACTGGCCAGAGACTCGGTACGTAAGTACCCTCATAAATACTACATGCATGCTCATGTTATTCTACACTACTCATATACATTTCCTACCATCACCCTCAACGGGTATGGTGGAACACACAAGGGGAAAAAGCCCCAGTACCAAGAGGTTACCTCGATATGTTCCTCCACTTAGCTCCACAGTAGCTTATTTTCCAAACTTGTTACTCAACAGAATGCCTACACAGAGGACATTCTCAATTACTCAAAACTCATACGAATACATGCAATTTACAACTATACAAGCTTGATTCAACCACTTACCTCAATTCCACTTGGTCCAGGACCAAGGGCAATCCACCGAATCACGGTTCGGGGTTCAAATCGACGTATGGCAACCTACAATATCCATGTACGAATCGTCAGTACATGACAGTTCTATCAAAACGCGAAAAACGTCAAATTTCTACACCCACACTAGGTAGGTTCGGCCAAACAAGGTTTAATTCCAAATTTATTTTTCTAAATTTTCTTTCTCATTTTATTATACATCCTTAGGTTGCTAAAAGGCTATACCAAGTGCCGTTTTTTCATTTTACGTCTTTTAAGGGTCGTTTTACTTAATATTTCACTCTAGGATCCTTTATGACCCTTAACACCATTTATCATTTTTCATTGATTTTTCCACTTTCCAACCACCAACAACCCATCTAAATACCATTTAACACTTGAAACATCATCCAAGCAATGCACACAACCTCAATTCCTTAAACTTCCCTAAATGGCCGAATTGTTACCTATGTAATACCAAGGGATTTCATTCAATTTTCAACCCTTCCACACTTCACACAATACCATTATATCCACATATAATTATCCAACAACTCACCACTAAAATCCTAACACATTTTCCAAGTTCAAAGTCATGACACCTCAAAATTTTCTAAGTTACAAAAATCATATTTTTCACCTAAAATTTTCATTGCATTTATAGCTAATACACATTATTCTAAGACACATTCACGTACAAAATTTTTCCAATTGAGCTCTCTAAACACATCAATCACAAAATCCCCCTTTAGGGTTCAATAATTCAATCACCACATTCAACCGTTTAAATTACAAGGAAACTCACTCAAATGCAAGGCACAGGGCTCCTCCTAACTATACTCCACCATTGGAGCACCTAGAAGCTCCATGAACACAAATCTACAAGCTTGAGCCATGGCCTTGAAGAGGAGATTTCGCAAAATGTAGCTAGATTTAAGGCTTGCCATTAATGCCAAGGTGGGCTCCACTGCCACCTCACGCGATTTAAAACTAACCCGGATTTTCACTAAACGTCCGTAAATTCAAAGCCTATTTAGAAACTCTAATTTTTAACATTAACCATTATCCTTTAATTATACTTGATCAGATGAATCCGGAGTTTTCCGGTCGTTCGGAGAAAACACTGTTTTAAGCTGTTGCGCGCGTCGTTGGCACGCTTCCCCAAACTAACTTATTTCCATCAATTTTCATCAGAAATTATATTTCCTAGTTCTATGAATCATTTATAACTTATTTTCAAACGTAGAGCTCAAAACTTAATCAGCACATTTTATGGTGCAATCGTACTACAGTATTTTGACCCGGTAAAACACTATTCACTGAATTTTCTGAAACTTGTCTATCCACTCAATTTTTCGTTCTAAATCCATTTCCAGGGTTATTTTTTCCATCTGAGACCTTCTACTCAATTTTTATCTTCCTAGGGTTGCGTGTTAGCTAATTACCGTTTTGCCCTTTCTTTGTATTTTGGCCTAATCTTTAGGATTTTCACTAATCCTTCACTTAATTACTCATTTAATATTTTAATACATAATTTAGAATTGCCCCACCTTTTAGAATTTTGTCCGCAAAATTAACATCCTAACGATCCCGTAACACGGGGTGTAATCGGAGAATCTCATCTTTCCACTCTTTACTAGCCTCCTTAGGTGCGCATCTTTAAAATTTTACCTTCGCCACAGGCATAACCTCGTTTTTTGTGGTATCCATCGTTACCCAATCCTTCACAAACTTGATAATTTCGGGGATCTGGTCTCATAACTCATTATATTTTCACTGTTTCCGTAAACCACTGTTGCATTTTCGTTAATTGTAGTTTATAATATCCCCATTTTACAAACTTGTCACTTATGGTGCCACGACTTTTAATTCACAATTATAGGGTATAAATGGGTGTAGGCAAAAATACCCAAAATATAAAAATGAAAGTGAAATTATTTTCAGAAAAATATTCCAGACCTTTGGAAAAAGTTTGGCGGTGAATGGAGTTAAAAAGATAGATGAGCTAATACCCGATTGACTTCACTTAACCTATGTTAAGTGACTTAAAGCAATGAAAACCCATTTCATTCCCCCCTTGCCCGTCGAGCAGAAACAAGAAAAGAGAAGGGAGAAGACTCCATTGATGACCCAAAGAACCTAGCTTCCTCGTTTGGTGTCCAAATCAACTTATTCCAATGCCTAAACCACTCCAAATCTTCCCCTCTTTCCTAATCCAAGCTTGGTTCTGTGTGGGAGGCTTTGTGGAGAGAGATTTCATCCTCCAAAATTTCGACCCATTGTTGATTGGGTGTCTTGGAGGAGTCCATTGCTTGAAGTGATGCTTGGAATCTCTTCCTTGGATGATTCTAGGTGAGTTAGTGTTAATAAATCCTAGTTTCATTTGAGTTTTGTTGAAGAGTAATTTTTAGGTTTTCTATAGAAATGGGTCTTTGAATGAGGTGGTTAGAGTATGATTGAGGCTTAGGCCAAGTTGGAAAAAATATTTAGATGATGATTTTAATGGTGAGAGTGTATTTGGATGATCATTTTACTTATCTTCACCAAATTTCGAAAATTAGGCCCATGTAGTGTAAATTCTTGCATTTCAAGTAGTGTGACTTGGATTGTTAGTATTGATTATATCCTTGTGTTGCTAGGATTGAGGCAAATGGACCAAAGTTGAGTGACCACTCATTGGAGCAAGCTATGGAACTAGATTAGCCCTATTGGATAGGTAGGTCCATGCCAAATTGTGGTGTGGAGTTGTTAATTCTTGAAGTGGCCGGGCGTTACACCATCTTATGATGAAGATTCAATTTATGATGATAATTCAGTCTATAATAAATCTGATGGTGAATTAGATTATGAAGATCTAATAGAGGAAGATTTATCATTTGAATTTTTGTCTAAAGAAATTCAAATAAGTGGAGATAAACAAGATTCGAGGACGAATCTTTTTCAAGTGGGAGAGAATGATGAACTTACAGTTGGCCCATTGCACATGGCTCAGCTATTGATTCAGGAAGCCCAGAGTCAACCAGAATTGTGGTCCAATAAATATGGCCAAATTGTTAAAAGAAACAGTAATTTGAAATATAATAAATTACAATCAAACCCAAGTCTAAATGAAGCATCAGATATGATTGTGATTTGTTTGACAAGAAAAGGAAAGCAACACATTTGACATGATTTGAGATATAAAATTTGGGAAGTATTTTGAATGATTTAATTGTAATTATTTATTTATTTTTAGAGGTTAGTTGTCGTTATGTTTAATTTAGGAATTTTCCTTATTTTTAGAATTTTAGATTTTGAATTTTAATCAATTTGTAATTAGTCTATAAAAGGGTACTTATGACCCTTATTCTAGGAGTTGAATTTTTTTATTTTGATAAGTATAATTGAGAACCAGAAGGTTACTCTCTTGTGAAATCCCAACTTTCTGTTTAGCCACTTTTCTATGCGCTTTCGGCATCACATTATCTATGTTGAGGATTTGTAATTACTAATTTGATAGCTAGACCTCAATAGTAAATTCTATATTGGCAACAATGACAAATTTGTATCATTGTTTGCACCTCGACCACTTTACCCTGAAAACGCTGATTAGATTTAAGGGCCTTGGATGGCCACGATCGTGCCATCCTGATAAATTGCTCATGAGGGGATGCACAAATAGTTGCACATGAAGGATAACTAACTTACTTAGCTGCGCAATGTGGTAGTTGTATATATGTCTTGCACAACTATTCACAACTAATGGATCGATAATAAGTTTGCAAGTTGTATTACAACACTTTTTTTTTTTATAAAAAAAAAAAAAAAAAAAAAACTTCATTTTCACCTATTCTGATTTTATAAATTATCATTTGACCCCATGTGATTTTATACTTATCACTTAGATTCATTATGCTGAAATAAATTATCATTTGACTCCATGTGGTTTCAAATTTTCACTTAGACCATTGTGGTTACAAAAATTTTCACTTAGACATCTTGTGACTTAAAAAAAATAAAAATTTAAAAATAAAAATTTAAAATAAATTTTCTCCCTTTTTTATTTTATATTCTTAAAAAATATTTCAAGTTATTTATTCTGAAATTAATTTATAAATTATCTTAATTTTTTTTATTTATTTTAAAATATATTTGAAATTAAAAAAATTATTTAAGATAAATTAAATTTGCCTTTTCAAAATAAGAAATGTACTTTCTTTAGATAATTTATAACGATATCAGGTAAAAATAGATAATATAAAATAATATTTAATTTGAATTTTTTTTCTCGATAAGAATAAGTGAATTTTTTATTTTTTAAACCTTAAATGCACTGGGTGAGTATATAAAATAAAAAAGAGGTGTTCTAAAAGAAATTGAAAAATTTATTTTAAATTTTTTATTTTTGTAACCACAAAGAGTCTAAGTGAAAATATTTGTAATCACAAGGGGTCTAAGTAAAACTTTGAAACCACATGTGGTTAAATGATAAATTATTTAAGCACAATGGATTTAAGTGATAAGTTTAAAACTACAGGAGATATTATTATTTAGTTTACAATTTATAATTAATATTTATCAGTTGATATTAATATAGATTTTTAATTCAGAACTTAAGAGTGGAAATTCTGAAAGACTTCACTCGGCTTATTCAATCCTGTTATTTTTTATTTTAATTTTTTTTATTAATTAAAAATAAGAAGAAAAAAAAAACGCAGCGTTTTTGTCTTTCCCCTTGTTTTCTTTTCTTCTTTCTTGTCCCCGCCGCTCGCACTCTTCTCTCTCCCCCCCACAACACTTCCGGCACCGCTCACCAACACGTCGCCGTTTCGGGTTTTCCTCTCAATTCAGCTCTTCCATCTTTTTTCTTCTTCTTCTTTTCTTCCGCAAAAATAAAAAAAAGGAAAAAATCATAATCTATGCTATTCTTATTTCCTGTTAGTAACTCTGATGCTTAGTATATGCTTCTTCTTCTTTTTTCTGTGAATTGTGAAGAAGTTCGAGCGAATAAACTGAGGCAAAAATGAAGATGGTAACAGCTTTCAACATGAAGGTAATTGGTTTTCAAAGCCCGTGTAATTATGCATGCCAAGTGTTTGTGAAAATGGAACCTCCCCTATGGTTAGTTAAATCAGTGTTTTATAGGCTGAAACTGAATCAATTTTTCGAATTCAATTTTCAAGATTGTTTTTATTATCTTCTCAGAAAGCCGCGGCTGGACTTAGACGCATCAGTCTCGACGGTCTCCGATGGCGGGTTTTCGATGCCAAGGGCCAGGTGAGTATGCAGTTTTTGCCTAATGTCAAGTTAGAGAAGGTTTTTCCTAATGTCTATGATTGAAGTGTAAGCTCTTGTTGAACTTAAAACGGGTGTAGTATGTTCACTTTGTTCTTGGTAGCTATTTGATAACGTGAGAAGAAGGTTATATTTACAACTTTTTTTTTTCTTCTTACAAAACTCTTATAACCATTTTTGTTATCGTTGAATCAAAATCATATCAACGGTTCTCACTTGATGTTATTTTGTAACCATTGATTTGGTTCTGATCCAATGATAACAAAGTGGTTATAAGAGGTTATAAGGAAAAAGAGACTGTAAGTATAACTTATCTCTAAAAGAAAGAATTAAAAAAGGAATAAAATATTAGGTTAAAGAAATGGTTTGCAACCATTCAACTTATTGGCTTGCATGTCAATTATGACTAGGATTGAGAATGGAATCCTGTGAAGAGTCATCAACAAAATAAGACAACCCATTTTTGTGGAGGTTTGATTTGATAAACATTCAGAATGAATATAGATCTTTTGCGATATCTAGTTATAAAGCTATCTCAAAAGGGATCATATTCTTTTGTCTAAATTATCATGTGTAATTACTTCTCTCAGAAGATATAGATATTTCTCAAAGTGTTGAACAAGAAGTGTCCGGTAAAGGAGCTAGTGTTTTAATCTACGGAGCAATCAGGATAGACGACTAGCAAGGGGAAGCTCAATATCTCCAGCCAATAGTCTGATGGTAAAAATCGCGGGGAGGGCGGGGTGTGTGTATTAACATTTGGGAGATAGCATAAGCTCTGGATTCTAGTAATTAGCAAATGCTTGATGTGCAATCTAGCTTTCCTCTGAAACTGTTCCAGGCTTTTATAGGGCTTGGGTGACAGTTGAGCAATGGTGGGGCGATCCAGAGCGAGAAATCCAGCCTTTTATGTGCATGCTAGCTTTTCTCTGACACTATTCCTGATGTGGGTTCTGCCTTCAAGCAAGGGCGACTTCTAGCTTTGGCTAGCCCTTTTTCACCCGCTTCTTAGGCCGATTATAATCTGGAACTCATCCCAGAACAGATATGACACTGTATTAATGGAGCATTTTGAGATGAATTATTGGGTGAATTAGTTATAAGCAAGTGCTAATTGAGATCATAAAGAAGGTTTTCTGAGCTTCTGACATAATATGCACTTTTGATAAGCATTTGTAGTGTAATCAACTACTGAGTAATTTACTTATTTGAAGTCGTGAGATCATTTTGCTAATACTTATGTTCCAATTTGTTTAGATTCTTGGGAGGATAGCATCTCAAATAGCTACTGTGGTTCAAGGAAAAGATAAGCCAACTTATGCTCCTAATCGTGATGATGGAGATATGTGCATTGTGCTTAATGCAAAAGATGTTTGTGTGACTGGGAGAAAACTTACGGACAAGGTCTACTACTGGCATACTGGGCAAGTACTTATCTTTTGGTACTTTTAGTTAGAACTGATGAAATATTATTTAATAATTTTGGGCTTCTTCTAAATCAAATGGTTTTATTGTGATTTATATGCTTATCTTTTAAGAAATTCTGACATCAATATTATCATTGTCATTTTTTATTTGGTTTCTTATGCCACATAATCTTTTGGCATTATTCAGACTATTTTTGACATAAAGTATTGGCATTTAGGTATGTGGGCCACTTGAAGGAAAGGACTCTAAAGGATCAGATGGCCAAAGACCCTACAGAAGTCATTCGCAAAGCTGTTCTGCGCATGCTGCCTAGAAACAAACTACGTGATGTAAGTGTTATGCAGACCAATATTTTGGAAATTTCGAACTATTGAGTATGGAACTTTATTACTAGTATCCAGACTTAAGAGAGTTCTGCTCATGCTTGGTTTGGATATTGCAAGAGAAGAATCCCGTTTGAGACAAAAAAGAAAAACCATCAAACAGTCTGCAATGATATTTTAAGGATGTTTGGTTAAGATTTCCAGAATTGATTCCTACTGTAGGAAACAAATCTAATGGAAGTGACTCGTGGGTAGCTTTTGTGGTGAACAAAATTGATTTTGAGTTAGGACCCAATGGTTTCTAGAAAGAGCCCTACAAGGAATGTTATAAATTTACTTTAACAAGTGAGACCCATGATTTTCAAAACTATGTCTACATTTATACTTCCAAAATAATTATAAACAAAACCCATAAAAATTCAAAATTTTAAAATCTATTCTTTCAGCACCAATTCTTTCAGAATCTAACACAAACTGACCCATAATCATTTGGAGCCAAAGTGCAACTGACCCTCAAGAACAAAAGAAAAGAATGATGACCGAGTATTATGGCATTGTATCCTTTAACAAAATCACAACCATGTTTAGCAACAATCTTTATCTCCTGGAAGAATCACTACTTTTTACAACTTTAGAGAGTAGTTATTTAGAGTATGGGATAAGAACTATTCATCCTGTGTTACTGGAGTAAGTCTCTTGACTTGTTTTTATTATGGATACTAAAAAGGCAATCTTTTATAAACTCTGTTGAACTTTCTGCTGTTAGCCACAGTAAATTTGGCAACTCAAACCCCACTCTTACCATTCCATCTCAATCAAAGAGGAGCAAGTGGTTTTATTTTGCTAGAAAACTTCACCACCATAACTTTCATCAATAAACCTTAAGGAGTGTGATGAAAAAGCATATCAATATCATAACTAAAATTCCTAATGGATGAACTTAATGATTTTTTTTCTTTTGGGTAATAGAAAGTTCAGTGGAGGGGAGGTTGCCCCATTTCAAGGTTAGGGCATGCCACAAGCCTTGGTGATGATTTACAATGGTAATTACAGATGACCTACTAATGAAATTGCACAGGAATTGAACTCATGACCTTTTTGGCGGGTGTTGTTAGATCTATTAGTTGTACCAAGTGCCAACCCTTGCTAGAAACTTCATGATTTGTTGTTGCTTCTATTTATTGCATAATCCAATAGTCTTGCTTTAGTATTTTACTGGCACTTGGATTGTGAAAGAGGGAAGAGGATTGGGTAATGGTGTCATAAATGTATATAAAAAAATCATCAGGTCATTCTCATACACTGTCCAGTGATGAAGGGTCATCAATCTTTTGCTACACAATTGTTTTCTCAGTAGCCATGATTTTCAATTATTATTTTTTTTCATTTTGTTAGAGCTTGTTTCTGATATTTTGTTGTTCTTTAAATACCATTGAAGGACTGATGTTCTAAGTTGCTTTTTCTTGCATCATTGCAAATGGAATGTAGGATAGGGATCGAAAATTAAGGATCTTTCCTGGCAGTGAGCACCCTTTTGCTGATCGGCCACTAGAACCTTATGTGATGCCTCCTAGAAGCATACGAGAAATACGGCCACGAGCAAGACGTGCCATGATTAGAGCACAGAAGAAGGCTGAGCTGCAACAACAGAATACTGATGGACCAAAGGGCAAAAAGAGAGAAGCACGGGAAGAGTGTGCATGAAGACTTTATTTTGCTGAAGGGAGATGGTGTTGACTGTTGGTTTATCATTTGAATGGAAAGTCATCCGTATCTCTTTTGTTAGCAAATCTTATAATGCCATATTGAATTGTGTTCGAATTTTTTGTTTTACAAGTCTGTTGGTGAGGGCTTAGTTAAGAAACCATGTTTGATTCACAGAATAGCGCTTTCTTGCATCTTTTTGACAGAGTGCTAATTCTTGAAGTTCAAGTTAAAAAATTTAGATTTTATTCGTCCAAAAGTATATTTGACATTCATTTAATCCTTCGAAGATTAGTAATATCGAATTAATCATCCTAATATGTAACTACTAAATTCACTGTCATGTAGTGCCACTGTGCAGCCAAGTATGAGAAATTGCTATTTGTTTGGCTCTCTTTTTGTTAGTTGTTAAATGGTTTTCCTTGAATTAATATCTTAATGGTTTAAACGTCTCAATTTTACTCTCTTAAATCTTTGGCTAATTTTTATGGGATAAGTTATTCTACCTATCATTTTTTCTACCTATCTTTGCCTACCACCCTCCAACACCGTTAGATCAGAATCTTAAGAAGAGAGAGAAAGATAAATGTTAGTTAAATCACAAACATATAAATTAATATTTTGCATACTCTTATTTTGTCTACCTTTGCCTATCCTTTTTAATACCGTTAGATTACAATCTTATCCCATAGTAGAGATTTATTATATAAAATCAACTCTTTTACTCCCCTCTCTCTCTCCCTCTCTCTCTCTCTCTCTCTCTCTCTCTCTCCCTCTCTCTCTCATTCTTTCTCTCTCCTCTCCTTTCTCTCTCTTTAATGGCGCTTCAGCATCAAAAAACGATGCAAGCTTTTTTCTCAATTCATCCAATCCAGTCATTGTTATAAGCATTTACATAAAAAAATTGAAAAGGGGTGTCAAGAAGAAACAAACCGATGCCCTGTGTTATAGAATCAGGTATGCCTCTTGTTGGGCGTAACATAGAGAGAACATAGATCTTTTTCTCACTTAAAGGTGAAAACAAGATAAGAATAAGGAGATAAGTTGATTTGATTTTAAATTTCAACAACAAAATAGAAACGTTACTGTAATCGTGGATTAATTCAAAGGAAGGGATGCTTCGTGGTTTTCGATTTATTTATTTTTTTTGTATTTTTGTGGTTTCTGCCATATTTAATTATATCAGATTCAAGGAATTTTGAAAATTATATTCATCTAGTAGAATTATCAGGCCATTAATCATTGATTGAATTTAGATTCAAATATAAATTTAATATAAATTATGCAAATCGATAGAGAGAAATGAGAGGAGAGAGAAAGAGTATGGGAGATAATAAGGAGAAAGAAAGGGGGAAAAGATTTATTTTATTCCACAAATCTCTACCATTAGATGATATTGTAATCTAACGGTGTTAAGAGAAGTAGGCAGAATAACCTATCCCTTTTTTAATATTTATAATCTACCATAATATACAAATCAATACTCTGATCGTCATGGTCTTTCCAAAAGTTTAAGAATTTGGATTGTGCAATAATTTATATGTTTGTGCTCTGCCACAAACAATATTAAATATTAAAGATTTACTAGCGGCCAGTGGCGGAAACAAATTGTTTATTACGGGGGTGAAAATTGGGGGGGGGGGGATGAAAATAAATTTGGGTTTGCTCTTGGTTTCTGATTATGTCCTAAACGGAATCATAGCAGATCACCTCCATGGCAAGATACTTAAACAAAACTTCAATATTTCTTTGCAAATGGCATTGGCAATAGAGTACCTTCACTTCTCGATGATAGTTCCAAGAGACATAACTTCATTAAAAAAAATAGTCTTCGAATTTTTTTTTTTGGGGGGGGGGGGGGGGGGGGGGGGGGTGCAGTAGCGGCCTTGATGCCACCAGATCCTTTTTTGAAAATTCAATGTGTTTTTTTGTTGGATTTTATCGTTATTTGCGGTCTTGGTCGCAAAGGAAGAGAGAAAGGGAAGGAGAGAGAAAGGATGTGGGAAGAAGTGAGGAGAAAGAAAGGGAAAAAAAAGATTTATTTTATATCGCAAATATCGACCGTTGGATGAGATTGTAATCGAACGATATTGAAAGGAGTAGGCAAAATAAGAGTAGACAGAATAACATATCCCTTTTAACAAATCCCTATTCTCAATCGGCACGTCCACTTGCAAACGACATGATTTTCCTAAAACTTTACTTTTCATGAAGATCATACAATAACTAATGCACCTAAAAATCATCAAGGAATAATTATAAACACCAAGTCAAAATGTGAATATTCAGTTAAAAAATTGAACTACATAACTACATTATGATGTTGTTAGGTCCTCAAGTATCAAAAACTTAATTGGTGGATCCTTATTTATAATCCTAACAAAAATAAAAGCCGAAACGAGAATGCAAACTTGAATTAATTTACTGTCTATGGACAAGAAAATGAGGAGTCACACATCAGACTTGTACACTTTAAGTTAGAAAAGACTACAAGAAACCAAACCTTATCCCACAAAGTAGAGAGAAACTAAAAGATATTGGGGAGGGGGAAAAAAGAACCAAAGTCGTGGAAGGAACAAAATCCCATAGATGTATTGCTTCACTTTTTCAAATGGAAACATCCAAATAAAGACAAAGACATGTACCCCAAAAAAAAAGAAAAAAGACAAGGAAAAATGCTAATCGCTTGAGGAATCATCTTCATCTTCTTCATGATCAGCGACAACTTTCTCTATAAACCTCTTGCGAACTCCTTCAATGACAGCTTCTCTTGATTGCTCATTTCTGCTCTGGCCATCATTAAGTACAGGATCTGATTGGCACAGGACTAATGCAACACCTGACATTTCAGATCATTCAAAGAATTCAATGTAACATGTAGGTAGAGTCATTATATAACAAGGGAATAAATACAGAAAAAGCATTATAACTACGTAAGGAGGGCAAGCCTCAGAGCAACGGTAAAGTTGCTCCTTATGACCAGAATGTCATAAGGGTTCGAGTTTGGTAAGCAACCTCTTTACAAAAATACAAAGGTAAGGTTGCGTGTATTCGATCCTCATCCCTACCCTTGTAAGTTCGTTGGGGGGAGCCTTGTGCACTAGGGTTTGCCCTTTTTTATTATAACTATGTAAGAAAAAAAAAGGTAAGACAAGATGTGCCAGGAGGGATGAAAAACAGCAATCAAGGGACCCAACGTTCAACTAGATAAGAGAAAAAATAATGTCAATGCTGCCTCTAATCTTACAAATTGTAAACTTTTACTGGCAGACATTGAACAGTTACAAGTTTTACTGGCAAGGCTGCAGAGACATTGTTACATGTTTTTCCATTCATGCCTAGGATGTCAAAAGGCATGAAAGCTAGTAATGGCAAAACTAATAAAATCCTTCAGAGTATAATTTTGTATTGAGTATAATAATATTGTTGAATGGTATAAACCAAGAAAAATCTGAATAATTATAGTAGACAGATATTATCATTAGGATCACATTCACAATCGAAACATCTTTCAACCAGTTATACTATGTCATCATAAAAGCATTAACTTCTGGTTAGAAACTTCTCTGAAAGCTAGGCCTCTAATTCCATGAAGGAATCATTAAAATAAATGATAATTTTGAGGAATCCAACAAACGCAGATGTTAAGAATATTGTATTATGACATAATTAGCATATACTTTGATACTATTAAAAAGGGTAATGAAAGTTAACAAGAAGCACTAATAATCAAAGTAAGAAAACAGAAAAAATGGGGCTGGCATCTTGAGACATAAATACCTTCAGGAGTGCATCTTCGTCCAAAACTATGCATACCCACATAATTTCCTTTGACTGCTCCATTGTTGTACACCAATAAAGTAGGAAGATTTCGATCCGGGTAATTGGGAATGCAATCAGTAGATATTATCTTGACAAATTTTGTGGCAGGATATTTAGCAGCCAGTTCTTCAATGCTTTGCATCAAGAGCCCACATTCAGGAATCCTGTCAAACAAAAGCACAATAGACATCAGCACAAGAAACATAACACTAAAAAATTAAACAAAAATTGAGATGATAAAAGTAATTGGTAAAACATACCCTTCTTTGTAAAGGATGACAACCACCCAAACATCAGATGGAGCCTGCGAAACCTCTCGAATGAAATCAGATCCCGAAATAGGAATCACTGATCCAAACCTCAAAACTTTGGCCGCCTCCTGCATCTCAGCTAACCTCTTCTTCCTATAATAGCACAATAATTCAAATGAGAACAGATAGAATTTTTTTTTTTTTTATATAAAAACTACCTGATTTTACCCACTCCTAAACCAAACCCAGAATGAACTAGCCAGAAGTTCCATTCACAACAATTAAAAAAAAAATATATCTAAATATCTAATTTTGCTTAATCCTAATCTCATTTACTCCTTTCTCAAACCCCTAAAGCAAACTCAGAATGAACTAGCCAAAAAATTCCACACAACAGGAGGGTAAATACTAAATAGACTCTATTCTGGACCCATATAGCTCTAGGAGATAATACACTTTAGTCTTTATCCATTAAAGTTAAACCCTTTCTATAAATAAAGGGTTAACTGCCACTTTGCACACACAATTAACCTTCTTGTGCACAGTGATTTATCATTATCCGCTGTGTTCTCCTCCATAGATAACGTCGGTCCTCAATTCTGAGATTAATCACGATCCGCTTGATTGAATAGAGTCTTAAAATTTATTCACCATAACACCATAAATTCATCAAAAGTACTTTATTCGTTTCCTAAAATATTAATTCACTATAATTTCCAACCAAACCGTATTCAGGAACAAAGAAAATGAACAAATGACATAAATCTCAGACAATTATGACTCAATGATACCCCAATCAAAACAATGAGAGTCAGAAATCAACTTTTTTCATACAAAATAAAAAAGTTACTTTATTCAATTTCTATCATCTTCGGGGCAAACAAAAACGACCCACAAAAGAATAACATGGGAAGTTTCAAGCTTTCAAATTAATCAAAGACCCCATTATTCAAAGTGGCAAAAAAGAACAAAATTTATAAGAAATAAGAAAAAAGAAAAAAAAATGAGAACCTGTAATCCTCTAGGAATCGATCGTCATCGAGATCATCTTCAAGGTCTTGGAGTTCATCTTCGGTTTTAGAATCGAGCCATGCTTTGTCTTTGGGAAGGGTATCAGGATCGGGTGCGGGAGTGAATGGTGGTGGCTTGAAAGCTGGTGGCTTTGGAGGCAGATTTCCAAGCTTTCTTTGAATATCATCCCATTGAGTTGAAGCTCCTTCTAAGTCCTTGTACACGAAGTGATAATCTCCCATAGCTTTCTTCTTCTTTCTCTCTCTCTCTACAAATCTGAATTTGATTCAAGGATTCCTCTTCCACTTCCTTCTAGAGAGAGAAATTCAGTACCCTTATTAATGAAAAAAAACAGACAAAAGTAAATTGGCGAATTGAGATTTTAAAGAATTTTAATGAATTTTTCTAGAAAAAAAAAATTTATTGATATTCAATTAAGGTTTTAAAGTATTAAAAAAAGTCACATGGTAGTTGATTAAGATTTTTAATAGTTTATTTTAAAGTTTATTCAAATATGTTGGTATTCAGTCAGGATCTTAAACAAAAAAATTAATCTTGTGGTATTAAAAAATATAACGTTTTAATGGATTTTCTATTGGTGTGAATTTTATGAGACTTTTTAATGAAAAATATAAATAGGATACTTCTCTTACAATCCCATCCTATTCTTTAGGATTTTTTTATATTTCTCTATTGCAGTGTCTTCTTTTTCCTTTGGAGGATTGACTCACTCGAAATCTGGTTCTGCCATGGGAGCTTCGTCAAAGCTTAAAAATAGCAGACTTTTTAGCGATTTTTATCACAAAACAACCAGAAACAATAAATCAACAAGAGTCTAATATAATTCATATCAAAGACAGCAAATTTTTGAGAGGTTTTGAAAGTTTAAAAAATGATTTTTCAAGCTATAGGTCGCGATTTTTTTTTTTTTTTTTGATAACATAGGTCGCGATTTTTCTTGGCACAAAAAGATGATATTTTGTTTTTAAATGTGATTTTGTATTAAAAACAAAATATCAATTTAAAAAAAGTATCAATACATTCATGAACGAAATTCCTTCACGTAGGAAACGATTTCAAAAAAAGTTTGTGTCAATAGATAACTAAAAACTTATTTTTCAAAAGCCCTAAAGCAATTTAAGGTTTCAACGTATCAATTGAAAATAATTTGAGAAATTTTCTAAACTTTTATTTAATAAAACCCAGAAATTCAGATTCAAAATTTTCTTAAAATACTAAATGAAAATATGTATATGATATATTGTTAGAAAACTCTCATCACATGGACCAAAACCCCCAATGTTTCCAAGATCAAATGCAAACAATTTCAAACAAAATTTTATCATGAACTTTAGGTTCTATATGCAAATTTAAAATTATTTTAATAAATAAAAAAATTTAACGAAAAATGCTTATGCGTGAAGGATTAGTATAGCTTTAGATATGTGGAGAGTTATTGTTTAGTAATTTTCAATGTTTGTTAAAAATTATATTATGTTTTACTGATTGAGAAAATTATATTAGATTTTACTTTTTTTATTAATATCATTACATTTCTTTGTTATTTTTTTATCGACTCTTGTAATTTTGAATGTTTGTTAAAAATTCATATAATTTTTTAAAATCTTATAAATTCATATGATTTCCGTCAATCTAACAGTTATAATTTATTGCACATTAATAATTAATTAATAAGTGTGATCCAATAAATTATAACCGTTAGATTGACGAAAATCAACGATTAAGATTTGGTAGTTAGAAGTAATAAAAAAAAGGTAGTGAGTATAACCTACCTCTATTATTATTGTGGAATAAGTATTTCTTCCGTTACTCGAGACAAAGTTATCTCCAGTAAGCTCAAAACGACGTCGTTTTGGGTTGTAAGATTAAAAAATTAAAATGATAAAGACTAATAGAACCCTGCAATAAATTACAATTACAAAAACACCTTGATTTCTGCCAAAAAAATGATATTGTTTTGGGTTCACCAGAGATAATTTTTCTCCATTGACTGAAGAGATCTTTTACGCTATTATTATTATTATTATTATTATTATTATTATTATGTTTTATTTTTATATACTAACCCGAATTACCTTAGGTTCTCCCCACCTTTTTGTGGGTTATTAAGCTACTTCAACGACTATAATACTAATTCTGAATTGGGATTTAATCACATCAAAACTCTTCATTTTTTTTCCAATATCATTTGATATGGGAACCAAACATAAGTTCTCTTCCTATTTTAATAAGCCTGTACTAACACATTGGGTTATTATTATTTATTGGGAAATGATATTGTAACAATCAAATAATGTTACTACCAATCAATTTCACCGTTAGATTGATTATGTTAATCCAACGATTATACTTTTTTCATCTTTGTATGGTTATAATTAGGGGTGAAACTGGGTCGGGCCGGCCTACAGAGGCCTACGGCTCGGACTACATCAGGCCAGATCTGAGCTAGTATATTTTGTATAATAGGCCGGACTTGAGCCTTAAAAAAGCCTGTTTATTAAAAAGGCCGTAGGCCCACTTTCAAAAGGCCGGGCCTATAAGCCCACAGGCCAGCCTATATTGTACTATTTATTTTAAATAAAATAAAATAGAGTAAGTATGTCTTGAAGAAAAAACAAAAGATATAAATTTAATCAATTGCAATTATTTATAACTTAATTATATTCGATTATATTTTAATAGAAATCTTATTTTATTTCTTATATATGAGGAACCAACATCTCAACATGTTAGATTGTATATATGAATATATTAAAATATTTTTGGGAGAGTTATACTTACTACAAGCATCATGATTTGTTTGTTGGATTCATGTAGTTATTTTAATTTACATAGTATGGATTTGTTTATTGGATCTGATGAAATATATGTTATTTAGTTTGAACATTTTGCTTTCGAAAATGACTTAAGTGCATATTGTATGAGTTTTGTTATGATTCATGATTCTATTTGGACGTTGAAATTATGATTTTTGGTGTAGCAACTGAATTTGAGTACTTTGTAAAGTTGATTCATGGTTCTGCTTGGAAGTTAAAAATTAACCGGCTAACGTGCCAAGCCAGGCCATTTATTTTTTTATAAACGGGCCAAACCAGGCTAACAGTTAGACTCATACTAGGCTTGGGCCAGGCCAAATTGAAATTTTTTGACGTAGGCTTGGGCTTTTCGGGGCAAAGCTTGGCCCAGCACAGCCCACTTTCACCCCTGGTTATAATTCTCTATATTTAGAGTGAAAACATTAAATTTGAAAAATCATAACCATACAAAGATGGAAATAAATATATTGTTAGATCAACATACTCGATCTAACAGTGAAATTGATTGATAGTTGATCAGTCCAATACAATATGGGCTGGTCAATATGTACCGAGCCTAATCACACACGGTTAATGTGAGAAGACTTTGAGTTGGGTTGTCTGTTTTCTAGGCTGCTGATAGTTGTTGTTAATATGATAGGTATGATTCTCCTTTGGCGCGATGATCCTGACTGGGGGTACCTGCAATGACACTCCGACGCTAATCAGTATCAAAGTCAGGCTTATGTGGTATTCTTACTTAATTAGATGATCATACATGGGTTTGTACCCTTTGTTTATATAGTGAATCTGATGCCGACTTTGACAGGCGATGTGTCTTCCGATTGGCTGTAGATGGGCTGCAAGTTCCAAAAAGGATTTGACCTGCTAAAAGAAATTAATTTGATTATTGAGATTTTCAACTCCCAAAAAGGGCAGAGAGCCTTAAAATCAAAACTGAATTTTTTGTATCCGTTAGAATTTAGGATATCGATTGATATTTTTATAAATTCTGAGTTGGGGTTTAATCTAGTGGTGACTTATTGAGAATTTATAAATATCAATCGGTATCCTAAATTCTAACGGATATAAAAAAATTGGTTTTGGTTTTGAGTCTCTTTGTCCTTTCTGGAAATTGCGAATCTCAATAATCAAATTACTTTTTTTTAATAGGTCAAATCCTATAATTTGATTAAGTCACCACCTAACAAGCACGGACATGGCGTTTTAAAAAAAATTTGCGTGTCGGACACGTGTCCGACACGCGGTCAACATTTGGGGACACGCGGTCAACTCTCCGACACGTTTTTTTGACACACAGTCAACTCTTTTTTTTTTATAGACATAAGGGGATTAAACCCCAGCAAACAAAAAAAAAAACAACCTAACAAGGAAGAGTAACTAGACGCTCTCTCCCAACAGATGCTAGGTCCGCCAAAAACAACAGCAAAATTCCATCAGGAGGTTCTTCAAAGAAAATCTAATCCACCTGCTCTGCTGAGTTGAACAAATAGTTTGCCAACCAATCAGCACACATATTCCCTTCCCTATAATTATGCTGAATCCTCACATCCCAGTCCTTACCAATCCACATTCGTATACGAGAAAGCAACCGCTCCTCACAAACTGCTGCACCCTGCTTGGTGAGCCCAGTGATTGCCGAACGCGAATCACTTTCAAGAATGACCCTTCTGTAGCCAGCATTCCAAGCCACTTCAAGGCCATGAAGAATACCCCAAAGTTCTGCTTTGTAAGCTGAGCAAAACCCCAATCTAAATGAGAAACCAGTTAACCAGTTACCTTGAGAATTCCTTATCAACCCTCCGCAAGCAGCCAATCCCGGATTACTACGCGATGCTCCATCCGTGTTTATTTTAACAAAGCCATCACTAGGAAACTGCCAGCAAATATTCAATCGACTATAAGCAATATTCTTGATGTGACTACCAGCCCTACTATAACTAACCTCAATATCATTCACCAACTTAGAAATAATCCCAATCTTGATTTCCAAGGAAGGCGAACTTTGATCATGAATTTGCATATTTCTCCAACAGGTTACCAGAAACGCCGTTCTCCATTTTTTTTGCACGCCGCTAGGGATGGTCACCACGTTACTATACAACCAATGATAAAGATCCTGGTTGAAAAAATCATCTGGTAACTGCGAAGAAAGAAACTGGTCCCAAATCCGATTAGCACAGTTACAATCTCTTAAAGCATGCAAAAATGTTTCGTCATTGGCCCCACAACACGGACATCTGCTATCTCCCTCATTCCAACTAGCAATCCTACTTTTTGTTAACAGCCGATGGTGCAACAGTTTCCATCCAAAGATTTTCACCTTTTGAGGACCGTTCCAAGATCAGAGGCACTTCCACATCTCCCTAGCTTCAGCATCCACGATTTGCATGACCATACAGACGATTATAAATCTCTTTGACCGTGATTAGATGACTATTATTGAAACTCAAAATAAGCCTATCAGGTCCATCTTCATCATGAGGAGGCAAAAAA